ATTTCCACAACACTAGGGCTTTGGGCTGTGCAGCTTGCACTCACGCACTTTCTACCCCAACTGGGGGGCAAGCATGTGCTTGTTCCTTGGGACAGCATGTACACTGTTGCCCAGACAGCAGTCCCTTCTAGATAGTGGACGTTCTCACTCCACTCTGAGAGTTTATGTGGCTGCTATTTCTGCCTGACATGTTCGGGTCGACGGCGCCACGGCGAGGTGCCACAGGTCGGTGTCCCACAGGTCGGTGTCCCGCTTCCTGAGAGGGGCTTTACGGCAGCGTCCCCCTAGCACCCCGAGGGCTCCGGCTTGGGACCTGCCCCCTCCTCCCTTCAAGCCCCTGACCCAGGTGGGGCTTAGGTGGCTGTCCACGAAGGCCGCATTTCTGCTTGCCATAGCCTCAGGGAAGCGAGTTGGGGAGTTGCATGTCCTCTCCGTAAGCGATACATGCCCGAGGTGGGACTCTCAGGTGTTGCCCTTTGGGCAAATGTGGCATTCCTGCCCAGGGTGCTTCCACAAACCCACTTCAATCAGCCTGCCCAGCTGGCACGCTTTGACATTCAGGAGAACGGCACGTTGAAGTTGCTGCGCCCTGTGGGTGCGTATATCGAGGCTACTGCCTATATACGGCAGTCGGAGCAGCTCTTCGTTTGCCATGGCGGCACTAAAGGAGGTTGTGCCCTCTAACCAGCAGCTCTGCCCCACTGGGTTGTCGATACCATCTCACATGCCTACGGGGCTAGTGGCCACCCCCCTGCCATCAGAGCTGAGATCCCACTCTACAAGGAGCATCTCAACATCTTGGGCTGCCCTGAGAGTGGTGCCCCTGGAGACCATCTGCACCGCGGCGTCGTGGGCGTCTTCTGGCACATTCTCCAGTTTTTATCGGGTTAATGTCGCCACTCCCCATTCTCTGGGCGTGGTCCTTTTGCCGAGCTCCGCTGCTTCCAGTAGTGAGCAAGGGCTTGGATTCTTCATGACACGGTTGGTATAAGTCATCCAGTGCTAAAGCACCGCCTCTGGCGGTCAGTAGGGACGAAATAGAACGATAGTTACGGCTGTAACTACGGTTCTATGAGTCCCGGATGACCGCCAGAGTATCCTGTCACTCAGAATTCTTGTGTGCTCGCGAGAAGATTCTGGGAACAGATGCTCTGATGACAACGGCCTATGTAGCCGGTGTCACGTGGGTCACAGGTGACTTTGTTCTTATTGGTACTCAAACTGCGCATGCGTGCGATGGATATATCCAGTGCTAAAGCACCGCCTCTGGCGGTCATCCGGGACTCATAGAACCGTAGTTACAGCCGTAACTATCGTTTTAGGCATATGATAGCTATGTGAAAACATGATGATTCAGCCTCTATGGAGATAGACATATGACAAGCATGATCATTTCTGACGTGGAGCTAATCTGAACTAAACATGTATACTGCTTTATATTCCTCCATCTTGTGACTGTGTAACTCCCTCTCTTGTATATCAGCATGTGAAGGACACTGTTCAGGAACTAGTTGATGCTCTGTATGTGATGACTACTTCCATTCTTGAGAGGATCATAAATACATGGATCCTGAGATTGAAGCTCAAGCCGGTGACGAGTGATATTTTCCTTTGAAGAGGCATCATTTCAAAACACTTCTGGATGTCAGACTTTTGGTCTTTATTCATGGTTTGGTTAGGCGTCTTGATTCCAATTACAGGAAAGACATTTCAGACTTTATGGGAAGAACCGTTTTAGGAAGGCTAATTCCTGCACCCAACTTAAGTGTGGATAACGTTGGTAAATGTTACATAAAGTTGTAGAATAAATGGAGCTTGATAACAATGATATACATTTTTGTTCTTCAAAACGGTTAATAAGTAAAATTAAGTATATTTTCTGAAAAAGGAGCTGAAGTCTTGTTAGCTTTCCTGTCGTTAGCTTGTTAGCTTAGCTCGCAAATGCTATGAAATTAAGAAAAACAGCTTCTGGCTTACTTACTGCTTTTGTGAAATTGTAGCGACTGAGTAGTTTGTTTGGGTGTCATGACTTGTAAAGATTTGTATGTATTGATGTAGGTAGTTATTTCATGTTATGTTGTTTCTCATACTTACGCAAACGGCGCCACGCATCAACTCGTCCTCGTATGCTACGATTGGCTAACTCATTGCTTTGGCGCAGAGGGAAACTAAGTCTGGCACAAGGTTCCTCTTACAAACATTTACAAAGTAGTGTCAAGTTAAATATATAGTTATTCTAACAATTCTACTGCACATCAGGATAAATACAAATAAAACAGTTTGACTTTAAGACAATTAATGTTGATTATTGTATACGTTGTAGTGCCGAGAGATATGGAGTCAGAGGCGGTGCAAAGAAGGTGCAAGAATAGTGATTTATTCACAAGCTGCAAAGGACATGTTCTCGGGTCGCAGCCCGGGTCGACAAGAGAGAGCCAAGAGGGTACACACTATTTATAGGTAACCCATAACATGTCCGTGTGGGAACAATAACCGCAACTGTAGTTCCAAGTTTGAATTATGTCCCAGTGGTTAAATAGGTGGTCACCACAACGTTATATAATTACATATCTTCTTTCACACTCTTGTTACATAATAGTCCTAGAGGAACCAGAAGCAGTCATATTCCTTGTATTTGTACTTATACCTGGTAAATCAAGCTGATACTGTCGTCGAATAGAATACACAAACATGCTAATGTCAATACGTTTTGAACTGAATGACCGTATGCAGCGATAGCTCCAGGCTGGATGGATGGAAGGAAATAAATGAATGAATGAATACATTGCATTATACAGGAGGGCAGTGAGTAGAGCACCTCAGGGTAACTTTACTTGCCTTAATGTTCTTGTTTGACACTTTTACGTTTAAAACTATCGATTAGGTTTTATTATTAATCATTAGAAATGCTTTTTTTTAAAGGCTAACGGATCCCGTTTGAAATTGATGCAGGCCATTGAAGTTAAACTTTCATTTGGGTGAAGTGGCACCGCCCTGTTGGATTTTTGGAAGAATGGTTTATTTTTCAAAGTGATCTCAAAACGTTCTTTAGTTGGAGGCTTGATTAGGGATTTAAAAACGTTTCATGACAACACATTTTCATTTGGATATTGATTAAAAACATGAAAGTGAAAATAAATGGTTGCCAAGTAAAGCAAGATAGTAGTTATTACTATCTATTTAAAACATATTTTATTTCCCCTAAACATTGCAACTTTTCTGCCGGTAAGTAGAATTATTTATTTTAAAGTCATGTAAAAAAAGTGTTTAGATCCCATAGAAATACAGCAAAGACAGTCAGCTGAAATCTGTATGCATTAACAATGTCATATTCATTTGAAAAAACCCTCTAAAGACAGAGAAACAATCAATTTTATATTTATTTCAGCATATGATAGTTATAACAGCAACATTCAAACCTTCACAGATGTCTTGAGAAGTTTTTAATATGAAATAAAATCCCGAAATACACCACAGTATGATGAAAATACAGGTAAATACAGAAATACATGTTTTTACGAGTGATCTGCAGGAGGATTGCCATCAAACAGTGTGGTTCACGGTACATTAGAATCATTTCCTTCACAGATAAATCACTAGTGAGGGAAGGGAAGAGCACGGGCGCCCTCGTGTGGTAAATAACCGGCAATGCAGCTAAAAATGTGGCATAAATACTCCAAAAGTGATCAAAATGACTACAAATAAGCGTAAAAATGCAACAAAAAATGTCCCCTTTGTCCTCAATTGAGAAAATGTTGTAAAATAATTCAACTTTTTTGTATTTGTTGTTAAGATAACAGGTTGTCCTTTTCATAATAAAAGCAAACTCAAATGGCATAGAAGCCAAATATGAAGGCTGCCAACTCCATGAAGATACTCTGAATTTCTCCAATACTTTGTATGTATTATATATTTTAGCTTAAGCCTTGTTTAAGGGAATTTTTCTACATTATTCTTAATATCAATCTTCTGTTATTCACTTTATACGTAGATACATTTCCTTTGGATTTACAACAGGGTCTAAATATCAAATAGCATGGTAACACATTGGCAGGCAATGAGAAGCGTACGAAAAACAACAAATGTGTCTAAATACTGTGGCTGGATAAGGGAAAAACGTTATTTTATACAATTGGATTCAGCCATGTGTGATAGTAATGATTCATCTGTTGATTTACAGTGTGTAGCATAAATATAACTGCTCCATTATATCAGTGCTCGATCAGGGCTGAGGCAGTGCTGTTCATTTACATATTTATAAGAAGAAATAAAAACCTTCTGCTACCAGATTCTTGTATTCAGCGTGTTATGCATAATATGGCATCTAATACAGTAGGCCTACTTAAAAACAGTTAATATACTACGGTGGTAGAAATAGAGTTACTGTTGATAAAAAGGTGTGAACCAGTAACCAGGTGACAGGAACACGGTGCCTTCAGTCTGATCTTCCCAAAACACAGCAGCCATATTGTCCCGTAATAATGCCGACACCCTGTGGTGCGTTCAGGTCTCCACTTTCCCGAAGGTGCCGTCAGGAGGTCGGTAGTGTTTGGGGAAGGCTTTGAGTTGCAGCGAGTTAAAGGCGTACTTACGACACCCAACGTTCTTCACCGTGTTTTCCCGCCGGCAGCCCTCGCTGAGGAGACACAATGAGTGAGGGGAAAATCATAAATACAAATGATATGAAAAACTGTGAAATGATACTTACTTTGCTGCAGGGTTCGCTGATGATCAACAATCAATGAGTGTCTAGATCAGTGTTTCTCAAACTTTTTCATACCAAGGACCACTTAACCAATAAAAAAACACTCGCTGACCACCTAACTCCACAAATATCCAAAAACACATCGTTTTTTACAAATCGCCTGAAAATGGTACAAACAAGTGGCCACATGTGTGATGGAGGTGTTTATCTGGGCTATATCATGCAATCGAAAGTCAAACTTAAGCTCGCTCCATTGCGGAGATATTCCCGCGAGAGTGCGGAAAACTTACATTTATTTATTTATTTCAAATGTGAAATTTTACCAATATACTCACGGACCACTAGGGGGCGCTCATGGACCACCAGTGGTCCGCGGACCACACTTTGAGAAGCACTGAGATAAAAGGAATAGTACACCCACAAAATGGCCGCTTGTATGTCAGTTCCTCACACTGTTACATTCAATTACTGAAGATGTTTCTCTGGCATGCCAAGGTGAAAGAATAATAATAAAAAAAAGTGAGAACAATCTAAATGAATTGAAGTTAAACTTTGTTAGTTAAAAAAAAATATATATATATCCATTTATAAATCCTGAAATATAATCCAAGTCTCATTTATTTGTATGCTCAAATCTCTCAAATAAATGCACTTTGTTCATGAAAGAAAAAGGGATGTCTTTACGAAATGTTGCTTTTGTAAAAGTGACACCCATTTACGTTCATTCATAATAACTGTTCAGATTCAGTATGACGAGGTGGGAGTAATTCATATAATAAATATATATACTAATAATAATGATTATTTTGGTGGTGAAGTATTTCATTAAGTAACAAAAGTGCTTCAAAGTGAACAAACACCATTCACACAGAGACAAACATAGAAGAGTTAAGAGAAAGCAGAGTTAAAGAAGGTTAAGGAAACATATTGTTAGGTCATGTTAAAAATGTATAAATAAATCAATTTAAAGATCACAAGATATCCTCAGAGTGGTTATATTCTGCAGGTTCACGCAGAAACGGTTTATTACAGCAGGAGTGTGGCGTTCAGGGACACACTGACTGCAGGGTTTGTTGGTGTTGTGGTACATGTAGAGCAACATGGAGACAAAGGCAAGAGCCTTTTGACATGTAGCTGATGACAGAGGAGAAGCACCGCCACATGTTTAACAGCAATTCGTTTTTTTTCTTTTTTCAATCTCTCTGAATCATTTTCACATTCACTTAACAATTAAAAAATATTCCAGAACAACCTTTCCTCAACCCTTCTGTACAAGTTAACTTTGAAAGACGAAAAAAAAGAAGCAAGGAGATCTCTTAGCTTAAGTTAAAATACACATTTGTTTGGACTACAACTTGAATTTTGATGGAAAACCTAACAATAACTTCCATTTAAAATAATTACGCATATTGGTTGGTCATTATTATACGAGTAAATACATTTTTTTTCTTCAAATAACATGTTAATTATTACAATTAACGAGTACCATGAATTGTTGACAGGAGGGTTCAGATGTTTAAAGTGCAAGTTGAGAAGTCATTAAATACACGATAAACATAGCATATAAATCTGCATATAACATTTAGCTGCGGTATAAAGTGACATAGCAGAAGCATATTAATCACACCGTATAGATTTATATATACATATTTATATATAATCTCTGCAAGAAATAAGGACAATATATAGCAAATGTTGAAGGCAATACATAAATACAATTTATGTACAGCCATACAAATATATTCTCTGACACATCTGGAATCATAATTTAAAAAACAATTAAAGAAAAAGGTTAATATCGTCTTTTTAAGTTAATACTTTTTAGTAAGCACTTTAGTGTTATTATTAAACAATGATGTATAGGGAATTTAATTTAAAGCTAATTTAAAGCATATATAAAACAATTCCAGTTCCTTCATATCCCTGCTGCTCAGTGATACATTAATTAGATATCTGTATATTAGATGCTTTTATATATATATATATATATATATATATATATATATTACATTTGTTTGTTTAAATATAAACTCAATATATAACATCTGTCTCAGTTAAAAAAAGTACTCCAGAACGTCTTGTTCATCATTTCAGGTTGGAGCGCACGGAGTGATTCATACAAAAAGAAGCTCTGCAAATGAAGCATGTTCAATGTTTTACCCTCAGCACGTAGAGAGAAAGGGATGGAGTGAGTAGGGGTCACGAGATGAACCCCCACAGGAGGATATTTATGTCCTGATCCATTTCCTTACTGGGTCGATGTTAATGAGAGCTAGCTGCAGATATTGATTTGCATAATGTGTAGAGCAACTTGAACCCTCTTTGTTTCTTCAGAGGGTTTTGTTAAGGAGTGCTCGACACGTTTTCTGATCCTTCTTATTCCCTTAATTGCCATTTGAGCCCATTTCTTCAGTCAAAATCGTACCTGTACTAAAAAATAACATTTTCTATGTTCACATTATATCTGAAATATGAGTGTTAAACAGTGTTGGTGTTGAAACTGTAGTATCTGGGAAATAAGAGCTTGGCTTTATCGCTAACTGTATAATAATATATTTTTTTTCCACAACATTGAAACATATACAAGAGACAGCATCACACACGAACACTTTCTTTAGGAAGCTCTAGAAAGCGGGGGTGATATTAAAGCTGGATACATATTCCATTTATCATTAGATTGATTGAGAGTGTTATTCAGCAACTGATTTTGAGAGTATATTAATTATGTTAGTCATATTTTAAGCCATAACGCAACATTTCGGATTATTTCAGTGAGTCAAATGTGAGAATTTGCTGTTTCTTTCTTAGATATGTTAGTAAACTAAATATATTTGGCATTCTGACTGTCAGCAGGGCTAAAAAAAAAGGAATTTAAAGTACGTTCATGACAGATTAATTCTCCAAACAAGACGCATTTCCCGGCATTCTTTTCTCTCATTTTGCTGAAAGACTAATTTGGAGGTGGAGTGCATTTAGACAAAGAAATCACATCTTCAACTCTTTGTACAACACAAATCCTACAAACCTGAATTCTCTCATTAAAAACCTGACTTAAAGCATTTGGCACAAGCATGGATACATTCCTCATTTGTTTATCTTACAGCTCGAGTGCAAAAAGAAAATACGCTACTGATTATATCTGCAATTTGAGTTTCTTGTAAACGGATACACATAAATAAATGCTCTGAAGGATGAACAGCACTACACTGCACGGTAACCCCCTGAATATCATACATTAGCTTCATCATTCAAACGATTTTTTTACTTTCTCAATTGGCGTGAAAAGATAGCAAATGTTTATTAATCTTAGAAGAAATCCCAATTTACTCCTTCATTTATCAGTATTCTGATATATGGGTAAATAGACACCTTATTGGATGAATTGATTTTTTTACCCCAATAAAAGGCTTGGATAGCATTCGTCAGAACAGTAAAGCTGCATGTAAACAGATCTGCTGGAAAGTGCAAGTAGAAGCGTTTCTACGGTTATAAAAAGCAGGAAGACTGAAATAAATAAAATAAGCAAATACTGCCTGGAAATATATACTGTATGCATATATAAGCTAAAGTAAGCTTACTCATTTTGGCACAAATGAAAAGCTTTTGTTCCCTCGTCTTTAGCTTGTAAGGTGCCAAAGCACATGGAAGACAATGGTAAAAGCAGATAATGAAATAAGGGCATTATGCTAGCTACTATCATATCATGTCTGAAAGCAAGATTTATATACACATACTCTGAATATTACTATACATATTCACAATACATTTCTGGCCTACAGATATATAAACTGTCACTTTGCGTATATTTTGTTGTTAGAGAATGGAGAACAAGGCAAAGCATTCTGTCCTACAGATGATACAGGGCGATACAGCCTACAGATGTATCAGTGAGACGTGAACTGTTTGGGACTATTTTTTTAAATCTTGAATATAAATGATAAGAGTTAAAGATGTTGTTTTGATACAATAGAGTCGTTTTTTAGCTACAGTAGCACTTTGACTGAGTTCACACTAAGCTGGCTGTATTTATTTTGTCCCATTTTTTAAAGAATTGTCCTCAGGGTGGAAATGGAAAAGCCAGCCTTGTGTTTTTAGTATTATCTTTGAATAAGTCTATATCATTATGTATATATTATATTAAGCTGTTTGTTTACTTAAATATAGACTTTAAATGCTGTTAAAGTGTGTAAAAACGCATAGAAATCGTACAGAAAAAGTGATGTTTTTGGAGAATGATAATGCAGCTAACCTTGTAAGCTTGCAAAAGGAAGAACTACAAAACAGGAAGTGCCCATAAACCAAAACAAAACCAAAGAGGTGGTGTTGCTGATGGGGCATCAGGTGTGAAGTCCTTGGTGAGGCTGGGGCAGTATCACTGCGTATGGTGAGGACACAGGACAGTGGCACAGTGTCAGAAACACCCTCAGGGGTCCGTGTGGAGTTATTTCCACGCTTCCTCAGTCAGAGAGAGAGAGAGGGTGTTTACGCTCAGCTGCAGCGGAGTTTGGCGAGGAAATAGGCCACACTGAGAAAGATCCACACGACCATCAGGTTGGGGCTGAAGGCCAGCAGGGGCAGCGAGTACAGGAGGCTGGGGTCCAGCCTGAGGTCCCGCACCGGCAGCAAGCCGCTCAGATTCTTCTGGATCACCCCCTCCCTCGTCCCAATTCTGAGGCACGGGGAGGAGGAGGAGGGAGGAGGAGGTGTGGAGCGGCAAAAAAAGGTTGGATGATCGGGAAGGTGGTGCAAGAGCGGAAGTAGAAAAGCAGGTTTGAGGGAGGAAATTAAAAGAGGAAACAAGGAGAGGAAATAAGCATGAGAATGAAAGATGGCGAAAAGGAAGGAGGGAAGTGCCCAAATAAAGATGGCATGTATATATGCATGCACAGTTGAGAAATGGAAAAGTAAAAGGTGATACCGGCGAATAATCACAATGACAAAGAATAGACGATAGACAGCCGTTTCCATGGTGTGACATAAGAATGTTAATAAGTCATTCAAATCAACAGGTGGAAATGGATTACAAACCAAACCAGAATAGAAAATGAGCCAAATCATGACGAAGAGGGAGAGGGGAAAACAAGAGAAAAAGAGAAAATTAAGAAAGATGTTTCCACGTCTTTCAGAAAAAAGGAAAGAAGATAAGTAAAACAGCAATGGCTCACCATGTTTAGATATGTTATGACATGGGGTGAGGAAGGAGGAAGGGAAAAGTGTCCAGAGGAATGGGCTGGTTTCACTTGGAAAACCAATATGCAGAAAAACACCCTTTAAAATGTAGGATTATGCGACATTTTGAAGTTTGAACTTTATACACTATAGGTGCTTTCACACCAAGTACTTTGCCGTACTTAGTTCATCAGAACTTAGTTCATCAGAACTTAGTTCATCAGAAGTCTTTAGTTCATCAGAACTTAGTTCATCAGAACTCTTTAGTTCATCGGAACTTAGTTAATCAGAACTAAAGAGTTCTGATTAACTAAAGAGCAGATCGCGTTCACATCGGAATAAGTCCCTGAGGGAGGGTTAGGCAAATGAAGCCGCTGACGTCTGCTTCTACTGAAGCCTTCCGAGTAAATCGCCAGAACGCCGACACCTCCTCATCTCCACGTTTTATTTTGTGTTGCCATAAGTTAGTCTCTCTGCGTTGGTGCGCTGGGCTAATGCTAATGCTAATAATGTTAATGCGAGCAAATAAAATAGCGGCTTCACAAAACTTTTGAGAGTTTTACGGGGCGTGGTTTGCAATCCTTCCAGCCAATCAGAAATGGGAACCTTTTTCTCCCACGAAAGTGCCTGCTCTCTAGCCGGGACTGAAAAGGGGGTGAAAATGTTCTCATGAACTAAGTTCTAGTTCCGGATTTTTTTGGTGTGAACGCAAATGTTCGGAACTATACTGGGAAACTCCGGTGTGAAAGCGCCTCATGTGTTTGCAAGCGGATAAGAAATACAACACACTTTTAGAAGGATTATTTCTTTAAGAGAAATGCTAACATGCAGTAAGTATCTGGTTCAGATTTCACTTCAAAATGTATTTAAAGGATGCACTTATTCATAGTGAACTTATTATAATGGGGGGTATATCTTCAAGCTTTTTCTAACATGCGTCACAGCTCAAAATCATTCCTAAGAGCATGAATAAAAGTATTATAATGATCAAAAAGCTGTTTTCATGCTCGCCGGCTGATGAGGAGAAGAGGAGGAGACAGGGAGAGATGTGAGGAGAGGAAAAGGTGAAGAGATGTCGTACCATGCCAGTATTGGAATGACAGTGACACTTTATAATCACATCTTCTTTTACATTCAAATATCACAAAGTCACATTGAACACAAACATTTTCAGACAGAAATATACAAACACTTGAGTTTAAAATCTGCTCGTGGATCATTTCAATAAAGCTGTTTGGGGAACATAGATTCCTTTAAGTGCCCCCAAAGTTTCCATTTTCTGTCTTTTTTTTAAGTAGATGTCTTTTTCAAAACCACAAACTGTTTAAAATGTTTTGGAAAGGTATTTAAATAACATTTTGTGGAAATCTGTGGTTTTAAGATGTTTTTTCTCAGTTGCAAAAGTAAAGAAATATGTTGTACACATCTTGTATTATTTTTAGATTTGAATCTTACTCGTGTTTTCACCCTTTCTGAATCATCTTTTAAAATATGCAAAATCTATTTTCATTTTAAAACATTTGTGTACTGATTTGGCCATGCTGCAAGCAATATTTAGACAAAAAACTAAAGTATTTTAGTCCAACACTGACTCAGCTGCAGTGCAGAGCAAAAGTAAATGTTTTAACACCACCTTATTCAGGGTTCTTACACCTTTTCCAAAGTCAAATTCAAGCACTTTTCAAGCATTTTCAAGGTGCATTTTCAAACTTTTCAAGCATCTGCAGCTGTTGTAAATTACATATTTATATACACATACTTATACTCAAATGATTATTTCCCTACCTCACATTAAATCAGATGATCTTTATGCTATAAACAACCAAATGTGCGTTTCGTAATAGCATTCTACATGAGGATGAAAAATTAAAGAAAATAAAACTAAGAATTAAAAGTAGATCTGTAAGGCATCATCATATCATATATATTATTCTGAAATGGACTAATCTGCACAATGACTACTTTTACTGTCGCTACTTTCACTATATTTTGATGCCAATACTTTTACTTGAGGAACATTTTGATTGAGGGACTTATTCCTGTAACAGAGTATCCCTACACTCTGGTACTTCTACTTTTACTCAAGTACAAGATCCGAGTACTTCTTCCACCTCTGGTAGTGTATTAGTCTGAATTGTAGCCACAAAATCACGCAGAGCTGCATAAAAATAGACTCACAATGGTAACAAGTGGAAAATAATATTTACAAATGTGTACATTAATTTGTAGGTAATGCTACTCAAGACACCTGTCTTATACATCTTCAAAGGAAGACTGTTCATTCTACAATTACATGGGATTAAAGCAAAATGTAGTTTTACTTGTATAATACTTCAAGATTTTATATAAAAGCCTGTTTCTAAAAGTATCAACCCTACCAACCGGTTGGTAGGGTTGATACTTTTAGAAACAGGCAAATCCTCAGTTTATCATTTATAACATACTAACAAGCTAAAGTCTAATTACGCAACCAAGTCTCACGGCATTTACATGTATAGTCACGAAATAAATGTAATCTATTGATTCGTGTTCACCAACACGATTTCCCCCTTTTATTCGTGTCACACAGAACGATTTTAAAAGCAATGTATTTCTATTGGTAGTGGGTTTCGTGCCTGCACCACGTCTTTTTGTCCGGTCGGGTCTTGGAAGACCGGAAGCTGTGTGGTTCATAAAAACATGTTCTTACCTTTATATATACAGTCTATGGTTCTTACTCAATATCAAGCCACGATTATTGTTTTTATTTTAAAATCGTATAATGTCTTTTTTTTGCCGTCTGTGAGGAAAATAAATGGGCTCAGAGCCTCAGAATATTGAAATCTGTATATATTTTTTTCCTTCTAATTTGTTATTATTTGTGACCCGAAATCAGTCAAAAGTCGCAACGGCTCATTTAAAAAAATAAATAAACGTGGATTTGTGTAAAAAAACTAGTTTTTCAGGGTTCGGGTGTTTTGTTTGATTTTAAATAAACAAAGTCTTGGCTTTCAGAATATGAAACTGTTATTGCCAATATCTCAAAGGGAAGATGACAGCTCTCACTCGCACCCTGCTCTTCCGCAGCGCAGCCCCCCCTCCCTCCGGCTGAAATTATGAATGTAAGGCATATAGTAATCAACACGGCAGGGTCCGGGACAGTTTGTTTTCATCTGATTTCAAATAAACAAAGTCTTGGCTTTCAGAATATTAAACTTGTTTCGGCAAATTCAGATGATAAATACAGCTTTGAAGCTTCGGCATAATTACAAGCGGAGAACGGAGTAACTTGACGTCACAGCAGGCATAACAACAGCCGGTGTTTCTCCTGAGTGTTTCCCCGGTACACACACACACACACACACACACAACACACACACACACACACAACCACACACACACACACACACACACACACACACACACACACATCACACACACACACACACACACACACACACACACACACACAGCACACACACACCACACACACACACACACACACACACACACATCACACACAACACACACACAGCACACACACACACACACACACACACACACACACACACACACACACACACACACACACACACACCACACACCACACACACACACACACACACACACACACACACACACACACACACACACACACACACACACACACACACACACACACACACACACACACACACACACACACACACACACACACACACACCACACACACACACACACACACACACACACACACACACACACACACCACAACACACACACACACACACACACACACACACACACACACACACACACACACACACACACACCACACACACACACACACACACACACACACACACACACACACACACACGAGCTTCCCCCAGACCAGTAATACAAGCGAAAATGTGTCTTTGGGTCAATGTGACAGATTTTCTTTGATTTTGTCACATTTGACGATTTCGTCACATTTGGTTTAGGCACGAAACATACTACCAGTAGAAATACATCGCTCTGTGTCGAATCAATAGATTATATTTCGTGACTATAACACGAAATGCCGTGAGACTGGGTTGAATTGCAACAGTGAGTGCTTCATCCTCTGAACACCACAGGATGGCGACTGTAACGCACATAACATAGCATAACATGCTCCTCTGCAATGATTGTCCCCTGCAATTATTATTATCCCTCATGGAGTTCGCTATTCAGCTTGCTAACGTTAGCTTAAACAAACGTAACATGCAACGTTAGCCTAATCCAAAATGCTCTACTACGGCGTACCTTTCATGTGGCTCGTCAGCGCAGACTATCCCATCGTGAACAACTGAAATTATTTGTTGCAAACTTTGCAGGAGGCTACTCGTGGGCTTGACCCTCGTCTTAGCCATGGCTTGTATTTGTCTTCTGATAGCCAACGCTTGTTGAAACTGCAACTTCCTGGCATACTGTCATCTATCACTCATCAGAATGCCCAGGTCACAGTAACACTGGAGATGTTTTTATGTAAAAGCGAAGCAATTAAGCGCTCTCCGACTTCTTTATTTTTCTTTTAATCTAAAAAGCGAAGTAAAGCAATTTCAAGCACTTTATCCCAAATTCAAGCACCATTCCCAAAATTCAAGCACTTTTCAAACCTTGAAAACACCTCAAAAAATGTCACGGATTTCCAGCACCCCGCACGAACCCTGCTTATTGTAACGGAAGAACGGTAGGAAAGAAGGAGGCACGAAGGGAAACAAAAGATGGCGCCGATAGAAGATTAAGTGCTCTGATAATACAGATACATAAAAACACTGCCAGCCTGTCAGGGACTTTACAGACGAGACAACGATAGAAAGACAGAACAAACGGAGCAAGAAGCACTCACACAATCCAAAGAGGATCCTCTCACTTTGAAATCCCTTAGGTAGCTCTTTCCTCCAGACCTTTGTCTCAAAAGAAAGTGAACTAACTGTTTGACAAGAGTTTGGTGAAGTAAGCTGCCATGAGAACTTCGAAAGGTTCAAGTATCCTCTTTCAGATAAACCGGCAACTTTGGATCAGTTTGCTTCACAGAGGAAACAGGCAACGTTTGTTTAAAATCACACATGGGCAAAACATCGTACGTGTCCGGATTTCATTATTATACATTTGTTTTCCTTTGACCTTAGTGCTTTCAATACATATTTAGAGAAAAATACTTTTTTTTGCCCTTGTATGATTTTCAGTTGTATGTTTTGTTTCATTCAGGCACTGTGAGGGCGTCCTACCTGCGCATGCAGTCGAGGGCCTGCGTGAAGACCTGCGGTGCCATGCCGTGCTCGTGCTGCAGGATCAGGCACTGCTCCAGAGTCACCGACATGGCCGTGCGGTCTTTGGCGCTTTTGCAGCTGGTGAAACGCACGCCGTTCAGCCGGCGGCAGATCTGAGGCAGAGAGGGAGGGAAGGTTTAAGTGAGAGACCCTAAGTGGCAGAAATACCATATTGAGCATATTGTGTGAGGTTTTCAATTCTTTAATAGGTTTTGAGTAATATTTGATGTACTTAAAGCAGGATCTCTACCTCAGCAGCCTGCCACAGGATGTCTACGTTCTTGTTTTTCCTGGCGTGGACGTTCTGCCCCAGGAACCTCAGCAGCTCGGGGAGACACGTCTGAGAGCGAGACCTGGGGAGGCCTGAGGGGGGTTTGGAGATGGAACATGAAAAATGAGGAACAAAGAAGAAGAGTAAATTGACCAAAGTATCTGTACAAATAGCGGTTAGCTCTGACAGAAAGTGCTATTCAGATCCTTTACTTAAGAACCACAACGTTAAAGTACTCCATTACAAGTAAAAGTCCTGCATTTAGAAACTCTTGAGTAAAAGTACAGAAGTATTGTCAGCTAAATGTCCCTAAAGTTTGAAAAACAAAAACAAAACAGTAAAAGTTGTAGCTCTTAAAAAAATTGTTGAAATGTAATGTAATCTACAAGTGGCACGATGTCGACGTATTAAAAGTCAGTAACTAAATGTACCTCTACTGCTGGATCTATCTGTCATTGATTCTTAAAGCTAAAATTCTGCCACTGCACCAACTGGAAGTAAGAGGATGCTCCCTGCCTTGATGTTATTGTTAGTATTTGCTCAACTTCACACACACTTTATTACTTACAGTCCTCAGGCAGCACTTCTTTGAACTGCTCGTAGTAAGAGTTCAGTCTGGAGAGACTCTCCATGTTGATGACCTCCTGCAGGGATGTGTCTCCAAACCTGAACAACAGAAGGAAAACAAAATGTTTCCTTCATGGCTCAAAGCACAACATCCTGCTAAAAGTTGCTAAATGACAAAACGTCAGCCTCCTCACTCACTTCTCAGCGAGCGTCTGCTGCTCGTTGATGCCGACGTTGAAGTGCACGGGCTGGACCCTCAGCAGCATGCCGCTCTGGATCTCCCGCGGCAACGCGTCGAACATGGTCGCCGGCAAAGGGATGCGGACATTGAAGCCGTCCCGGTTCCCCGTGATGATCGGCAGCATGTCGGGGGCGGAGCTGCCGGTGGCCTGGGTCACCTGAAGGGAACATGCAGCCATGGAAATACATTTCTTTTTAAAGAACAAACCAAAAGTTTCGTATCATTAATTGCAAACTAAGCTGAATTCAGTAAATGTTAGGAACTTTAGGAGAATACATTGATTCTTAAAATAGTTGCCACAAGCTCTCAAGTGATTAATCATACATGTAGCAGCGCTGGCAAAAATGATTCTTGGCGAAGTAAAACAGAAGTAACAAAAGCATCCAAGTTGACATCTTGGATGCTAAACTACGGCAAAAAACAACAGAAGAATAGTCTAGCAGAAATGTTGTTTTTTTATTTCCATGCAGCTACAAAATCCTCATGGTGATAATCAGACATCTTCCTACCTTGAAGGTGACGTTGCGGAGATCCATGATGCCGACACTCATGTCCTCCAACATGGCCAACTCCTCTCCTGAAAACACAAACATGGGTCACCATTAACACCTGATTATTGTGAAAGGTGTGTGTGTGTGTTTATGGGTGTGTGTGTACCGTAGGTGCTGAGCAGGGACTCAAACTGAGCGAGCAGGCCGATGGTGTAGAGTTGTCGGAGAAATCCATTGTCACGGAGACAGTTCCTCAGTTTGATAATGAACCCGCAGATCAGAGCGGTGAGCTGCAACACACACACGCACATATTTACATGAGGTCATAGACAAAGGGAGGCCGTTTGTGTTACAGCATTCATCATAGCTGGATTATTCATTAATCTATAATTGGGACCAGTGTTTCCGCCAGACCAGGGCTGAGAGGGCGTTCACCCCGAGAGCGGGGGGATATATACACTATCGCTTTATAAATACTATCGCTTTACGTATACATGTATATGCACACACACACCATTTTTCAATTGAATTGCACCGTTCCTTTTATATACCGTCTCTTTACACACACAATAGACAATAGTAACGTTGTTTTTTCATAAATTCTGTGCCTCGATCCCCCCTTTATGTGCATCTCTAAAGTCTTCGCCCTGAAGTGGTGAACACTTTTTTTGTTATAACACAACCACGGGAACTTAATTTTCCAGGTCCCGACAAACTTATTTTTGTTGTGGCTGACCGGTTTCTCTTTGTGGCTTACGGGTGTAAAAGTGACATTGTCAGATGGCGTAGGCTCTGGATGGGTTGGGAGGCTAGATGACGACAACTCCGGCACTGGGGCACCTGCACGGGCCGGGGATGCTGGTGTAGGATCGGATGGCGGCAACTCAGACTCGGGCCTAGAGCCAACGGCAAGACTCGCCGGCAACACACTTTTTTCCGTCCCAGAAACCGGCTTTGCTGGCGGCGAAAAAAAATCCCACCAGCCTCCTTTGCCACTCCATCAGAGGGATGTCATTTTCCTTTTTGTCATTTAAACGATACAAATGTTGGATCTTCTCTCAGTTTTATTTTTGTTTGGATGAAAAAACTACAGCTGCTAGACAAAAATCCACTTTCTTTTTATAACGTTGGCTCAGGGAAATGAAACGTCTGCAGAGTGGGAGAGTGAAGGGTCTGCAGGTGAAGAAAATCCCTTCTATATTTGTCTCACTTTCTTCACTGGCTCTTAGTGTCTACAGTAATCCATAGGCTTATAAATAAACGGGACATTTGCACCCTCCAGCTGTGCAATATATAAAGATGTATGAACTCTTCATTGATTCCCTGGCTGTGAGTCGTCCTAGCAGGTAACTGTGTGTGTGTGTAAGATCTCTTGGGTGTGTGTTAGTGCTGACCGTCTGGCAGAAGACGACGTCACGGCGGTACTGCAGCGACAGGTCCATGGCTATCGTGGGGGCGCTGTCCTGCATCAGGAGGAACACCATGGACTTCTTGGCCTTGTCGCTCATCATGGCGACGCACTCGGTGAGCGTGGTGAGGAGCGGGTACAGCGCCTCGCTCCACTCGCCTGGCAACAGACACAGAGAGCGTGGGCGTAAATATATTACAGAGGTTAGACTAAACACAATGCAATCTGACTTTAATGGAGATGTGATATTAAGTGTGAATCATTTCAAATAAAGTGGTTTCTTATAAGATCTTTTAGGGGCTGTTAAGACAGAAAACAAATGAAACAGGGAAGCAACAGGAAAAGCAGAAGCACTTCGTCTCTTTCTTTATACGGAACTGGGAGAATTAAAATGCCGTACATAGGCCAAATGGACGTTGACACACAAATACAACAAGCTACTAGCGAAATTAAAGGGGAATAAAAAGCAAGAAGTCAAGTAGTTACTTAAATATTTCACTTTAATATACTATTAAGCTCCAGTCTTAAGTTCTTTGCTTTTTCCAACAGAACATAATGTAGTGTCTTCCTAATATACCCCAATAAGTGTGTTGTCTCGTAGCAGTTACATCATGTAATCCTCAAGGGCTTTTCTGGGTAGAATGCCTTATTTGATTGTGTGACGGGAACATGTTGAAAAAAGAAATTGGCATAGAAATGAACTGGTTGCATTTACAGCAATCAAACTATACAATTAGATTGGTATTGTTTCTGAAAATACCTTGTAAAAACATATTAACAAGAACAACTCAAGAAGAAAAATGACAGTGCCCTTAATCTGATACTCAAATATTAAACCAGAGTCTTGGAGAGTGGGTAAAGGCGCAGAGAAGCATGGCACGGACAGCAGCTCTTACCTGGGTACGCCTCCTCCGCACAGGGCGTTCCATCTGGGGACGGAGGTGCAACATGCAGGATTAGCTGCACCGCGAGCCAACAGGGCGCCACCACACACACACACACACACACTCCAAACCAGGGTCAGAGATCTATACAACAACATTCAGCCTACATTTTTTTTAAGCTGGATTTGTTCTAATTATTAAAATAAGGTGCCTGAAAATGCTTTTTCTAACCTCTAAGCAGAGGTGCAACTGTTACTAAGTACAACATTTAATCAAGTAATGTGATTCAGTTACTTTACTTCTACTCCACAACATTTAGGAGGGAAAACATTGAACGTTTTTATCTGACGATACTTTAGAAATTGAGGCGTGTGCAAGAATAACATAATAAAGATTTCACATCATCCAATTAAAACAGTATTCTGCATTGTGTACTTTGACTTAAAATGCTTGAGGTATTTTCCCGATTATAATAACATACTTTTGCTTAAGAAACATTTCCAATGAAGGACTTGGCTTTACAGTGGTATCAGTTGCCATCCTTAAAAAAAGACCTGAATACCTTATCCATCTCTGCTTATTCAATAGCCAGCACCATTTTGATGTGAAAGTCTGGATAGAGATGTGACCCTGGTTCAGTACAACATGTAGAGTAAGCACATTATCTCAGATATAACCGCATGGAGCAGCACTAACAGAAGCAAAGCTAGAGAGGAAACACTTTCTGCTCAAAGCTACAGAGATGCTGCAACAGTGTGGACAAACCAAAGAAACAACAACAAAGACTGCACACAAACTTAAACTTCACATTCGACAGTTTTCTCTCATGATAGCTAACAGATGAATAACTAGAAAAATACCCGGAAGTAAAGAAAATGTATTTAAGAATCTTGAAATGAAAAAGTGTTGCCAAAGGAAGAAAAACTAACATTTTTAATAAGAGATTAAATGAACCTACAGGAGTCTTGTGCAGAGGAGAGGGCGGGCAGAGAGGAGGAGGTTGGTGGAGGTGATGATCGTGGAGGTGATGATGAGGATGATGAAGATGGTAATGAAGGAGATTCCTCTGATAAACTTCCTGGGTTGATCCAGAAAGCTCTTTTTCCTTCATCTTTTCACAGCCATACACATTGATGTCAATTTATACTCTTGAAAGTCTATTATTGTGAATCACTAATGGCACATTTCCACTGCAGGGCCTCGCACGGCTTAGTCCGGTATAGTTAGGCTAGGCTCACTTTATGCTGCGTTTCCATTACAGTTTAGGAACTGGGGCAGTAACTATAGTAACGCAGTGTAGGCGGAGCCGTGACGTCATCGTCAATGCGAAACACAAAACCAACATCAGCCGTTAGCTGTTAGCCCTCAGAGCTCACAGCTCCTCATATCTGTTCAGAAACTAGACAGAAGTTAAACAAGTACAAACCACAGACTGCCTGTGTCATGGCGAATACAGTCGCTGGTTTATTTATGTCTGTAGGCCGTTGTTGTGAGTGTGGACGGTCGGAGCATATACTGCGTTAGCTTAGCCGATCTCCATTCAGAAAACACGCATTTTAAAAAGGTGTTTCGCCTGCCGTCTGTCTACAGACTTGTCAAAGCATTAATTCATGGTTTTTACTAACCGGTATCAGTATGTTGTTACTTTGGCATCATTTTGAAACGTGTATTACAATTAAATCACGGTCAAATATGTTCATTTTGTTTTAGTTGCCAGCGATTCTCTCACTAGTTTAGCATACTCAGCTCGGTTGTTGGCCCGGAAAGAACCTCGATTTTGGAGAGCCAGAAAACTGTGAAAAAGTACCCGCTAGCCGGAACTACGCCAAGTGGAAACGCAACCAAAAACGGGCCGGGCACGGCACTGCACGCTTTAACCACGCTGTAGTGGAAATGCACCATAATATACATTTTTATTTTATTTTTTAGACTTTTTTTGATAATGTGTTGTTTAATTAATCTTTGAGCTATTTTGTTCTTTTTTTACTTACTTGATTTATGTTAACACATTATTACAAATAAAACATATTACTGAGCAAGCAAAATAAAACAAATGCGAATAAAATACAAACTTTAATGACTTCAGATAATAGTTTGGCTTGCATAAAAACTTTAAGTGATGCGTTGCTAATCTGAATTTATTTTTAAATATACTTTTTGTTGCATAATCAAACCATAAAGCAAAGGAATCTCCAGAAAAAGAGAGAGATTTAACCTATAAGGATAAGATTGTCATAAAACCATGCAAAATATTTTTCAGCCTAAAAAATGAATTACTACACAAATAGAAAAAGGACATTGAGTTACCTTTCTTGCTGGCCCCAGCCTGCAGCTCAGTGTGTGTACTGTCCTGACTGCCGACGCTCGGCCTCCTCTCCTTCTGCAGCAGCTTGTCCACGCGCTGGATGATGCACTCCAGAGATTTATCCACATTCACCCAAACCTTCTCCTGAAACGGGACGGACAAGAGCATCGTCATCCATTTTTCAGAGCTGTGCAAGAAAGGCTAATGGAGTAATTACACCAGAGAGAAGAACAGCGCTAGATGGGATAGAAGATGCATGAGCGATGAGATGAATCACATCATTATGCAAATCACGGAGCACGTCTCCATTTTTGCTGGACTAAGATTTTATGTAATGCAAGCCTAGAGCTTTTGCCTGGGCAAAACATCGGTGGTTTGAACTAATGATGTCACATTTACAACTATGTTTAATAGTTCATACTTTCTTTTTGTGTTATAAAAGTCGTTTACAATACAAGTTTTTAAACCCAATACATGGATATTGGATGAAAACAAAAAAATATGCATGTTCTTGTGCATTGACAAATGAAGATACTCATTAAGTGACTGTTATGTGAATAACATATACAAATAAATCCTTTGGTTGTGGTAATTCCTAATGAACTCACCCACTCCTCTTCATGCCAGTCCACGTGCAGCGAGGAACGGCTGTTGCTGCCACTCCACTTGGCGAGCAGCGTGTCCTGGTCGTTGCGCAGGACTACTTGTTCCGAGTCGGCGGAGGGAGACGCTTTGGAGGCGATGTACTCGGGCCGCGCTGCGTTCAGGGCCTGAATGGCTGAAGCCAGCAGCTTACAGTCGCAGACGGTCACCAACTGACGTGTCTGATTGGGAAAGACAATATAATGGCAATAGATGGCACCACAAGACGAGTGATATTGATGATGTTTAAGTGTTCCTTTAAGTGCTCATGAATGACAGATGTTGTAAAGTACCTTATCAGCCAGAATAGCGAGCGTCCTCTGCAGTCCGCTGGCAGATCGGTCTTTTGCGGCTCGGGACAGCCTCTCTGCGTAGTAGCTGACCTGCGTCTTCAGCGTGTTGATGTGGGCGATGATCTCTTTGGCTCTGACTATGTCCTGGGGAATGTAGACGATGGATTGCGAGCTGGAGAGGGCGCTGCTTAAGAAAACAAAGACACGTGTTTTTTAGCAGAATGGCTTTTCCTAAGTATGCTGATGACCCTCTCCTCTATAAACTGTAAAAATAACACAAATGCCCTTTAAACTAACAACATAGCATTAGCATGCACATGCCTATGGTGGCTTAAGTAAGGACTTCAGATAAACACAGAGACATTGCAATAAACGAGACTAGGGGTGATTCCTTTCAATTTATAAATTCAGATAGACCATTTGTATTAATGCTTTGATGTTGGCTTTATGTTTTCTGAATATATAAAATGAGCGTTCTTTCAACAAACTTTGTGTCCTGTGTTACACAATGTCTCAGTGTGCATTGCAACATACATTGAAGCTACTTTCAATACTGTTAATGCCAAATGCATCACGTGACATTATTATGTGCAGATCACATTCATTCAGTTTAAACCTACCGACAGTTCCTCCAAAAGCTTTGACAATTATGAAACTTTGTTACATATACAGTGAATGTGTTTGTTGTGTTGGTGCAAAGCAGTGAGAAACACTGTGTACAAACAAATGAGAACAAGCAAAGCAATGCAACAACTCACCATTCCTCCTCATATACGCTGATCAATAAAAGTAACAAAAAGAAAATTAAGAGGAAGCCAAAGAAATGAATAATGCAATAGTTGAAGAAACAATGCATTTGTGGAGTTTTTGTATGTAAAGAAGACTTCAGGGTAGCCAAACCAACAAAAAGATACATCATTCACACAAAATAATTCATTATGGAGCAAATGTTTTTAAAATTTGAAAATATTTAAGTAAATAGAATAAGAGAGGAAATCATTGCGATTAAGGGGAAAAAACATGCAAATAATAATTAAATGTTTCTACTAAATGTTCAATATTGGTACATTTTTAACTCTTTCCCCCCCAAACTTACTGTTTCTTGGCCTCCTCAAACCTCTGGACGAGTTTCCTCAAACCGCTGTTTTTAAAACCCTGGCAGTGAGCCGCCGGCGCTCCGATCGTTATCACATCGTACGTGTGTTCTGGAGAGGAAATTAGGTTTTATTAATATCTTAAATACATATTTAGTCATTTATTTTGTGTAAAAATGGCTCTTTTTATTTATGTAGTATTAAGACAGTTGCACTGTAAAGTAAAAATATAAACAGAAAATGGAATACAAATATAAGCATATGAGCCAAAGTAAAAATGTACAATAAAAAAAACATGAAATAGTAAAGAATATGCAATCAAATATAAAATAAATAGTGTAAAAATGTTAACACAAACATAGGAAGTTAAGTAAAAATTCAAAACTGTTAATAAAAATGTGTGAAATATAATTTACACATAAATATGAATAAAGACATAAATAGTAAATGATTCACCAAACTAAATGCATTGTAGGTGTGAACCTGCTTAGCAATAGATAAGGTTGTGATTTATGTATTGTGATGCTGGTTTTTAGATTTGCTTCTCCATGTTATCATGGGGGATTTAGGTCTCACCGAAGCCCAGCTGATCCTGCACCCTCATCCTCTGAACGTGGAGGTTGGTTGGCATGAACTCGAGCTTCCTCTCCGCCTTCAGGTTGCTGGCTTTGAACGAGGGACCTGACGTAGACAACAAAGGATGGGTACACACAAAAACAAGAGCATGGAAAAAGAATGATATGTGGCAAACAGATCAGGGAAATAGCTGTAGCTTGTTTTAAAATGATATTACTGTTTTATCAAAGGCTACGAAGAAGTAACCTAACCTCTGTAGTTGTTGAGGTCCGACAGTGTTTCCTGGTACGCGAGTATTATGGACTGGTACTGAGAGACAATCTGTCTCCGAAGATTCTCCCAGCAGGGGGACAGCTCTCCCAGCTCCTCCAGCTCACACACCCTGCAGAGCAAGTGATATGAGACTTCTGAAGATGCATTTCAAATGACTCTTTTTCAAGCAAAAACCACAGATCTTCTCTGGCTTGTTTCTGCTTTTCACTTAGAGTTTCTATATCTGGAACACACTCGAAGAAAACTGCAGGTCTGTTGCACCAGTTCGAAACCCGCCGCTGCGTCTGTAAAGCTGTTGGAAGACACTTCACCTGAATTTGCTCCTGTGGGTATGGCCCACAGTAGGGCTGCTCGATTATGGCAAAAATCATAATCTCGATTATTTGGGTCAATAATTGTAATTGCAATTATTAAATGCTATTATTCATTGACTTTGAAAACATCCATTTATTGTACTTTAAAACAAATAATAATTTGAACTTTTTAACTGTTGAATTACACGTTCAGGGTAATCAACTGAAATACCAATACAAAATAAAATAAAATAAATTATACATTCATGTTTACATTTAAATAAATAATATCAAAATAATAAATACTAATAAACAAGATCAACAAACATGTTGCAGTGCACTGTCACAACCTACTGAAAACCCCTTAACATATAGCCAACATTTTGGTAAAACATATTCAACATATTCCACTCAGTTAAACATTAAAGTCTGGCCCACCATCATGGTCCAAATTAAAATGTTTTGGCCACCATGGCAAATGCTGGTAGGGCTGCTCGTGTCATCTCTTAAAGATGTTTTGCAAGAAACACCAGCCTGTTTACATGGTCTGGTTTCAGAGATGAGCGCAGGCAGGCGACGATATTGCCACCTGTACTGAAGACTAGGGCTGCTCGATTATGGCAAAAATCATAATCTCGATTATTTGGGTCAATAATTGACATCACGATTATCCATTTACTTTGAAAACATCAATTTATTGGAGAAAAAAAATTTCAACAGTAAGTTTTTAACAGTTCAGTATAATTCAACTGAAAAACCAACAAAAAAAATTATATATAAAAAAAAAAAAAGTAATAATAAAAAAATAATCGTTTTATTTCGATTACGTTGTTTTCGTAATCGTTGCAAGCCATAATCGTAATCGAGATTAAAATACGATTAATTGAGCAGCACTAGTCCACAGTACATGACCGTTACATGTCTGTATTTGTAAAGCGCTTTGAGCTCTGCAAAAGCGCTATAATAAATATAACAAATTATTATTACCTCTTTATAAAATCAACACTAAGGAATGTTTTATATCAAATCATATCTTACACTGTACTGAAACCCTTTCTGGTATTTTCTACCCGTTTTATTCATTTTTAGCTTGTTTTTTATTTGATTGGCTTTTGAATGACTTTTGAATGTTTTAACCCTTAGGTGACTACACTCTTCCATAAGTGGCTCAAAAAGGAGCCGTATTAGAATAATGTGTTTTTATGCCATTTTTGTCATTTTGGTTAAGAAAAATCACGTTTATAATATTTAGTATTATATTTTGGTTCACACTAGAAATATTTTATATTTAATTTTTCACTATTTATAATTTTAGACATTTTTTTTATATTTTGAAGAAGAAAAAAAAATTCCATAGAAAATGCATGCGGGTCATTTTTGACCCAATTGTGGAAGCTTGGGGTAGTAATACAAAAACTACAATTTCTTAAAATGTAAATTTAAAATTTGAATGGCATGATATCCAAAAGAGGTTTTTTGAGGAATAGCTGGAATATGAAATGATAAAAAAATGTAATTACAAAGACACTTCAAGAAAACCACCTCACCGGGTCAAAAAATACCCACTTATGCATCTAAGGGTCATCTTATAATGTGTTTCTGTTGCACTGTGTCAAAGGCTTTATTGTAAAGCACCTTGTTTTTGAAATGTGCTCTATAAATAAACTTGCCTTTGTTTTTCTGGTGACAGTAAATGGAATATCCTTGCCAACCACGTAGCTCTTAGTTAATTGTTTAGACATGTAAATGTGTGTTAGTACCTGGCTGCGTCCTCCTCCAGCAGCAGTTTGACAAACTGTCGGGGGATGTTTAACGAGAGGACGCTCTCTGCCATTTGCTCCAGCACCCGGAGGTGGTTCCCATCAGTCGAGGGGAAGCGGTACATCCTGGACATCGTGCCTCCAAACACTGAAAACATTGGAAATGAAATTAGTGTTGAATAGATTACGATGACTCTTCTTATGATATTGTTCTAGTTCCGCAGACAAACATATATTTTATCTTTAGATTCAATAATATGTGTTTATTAACAGAGCTGCTCTCCTTTAAACACGTTTTAGATGGAGTAGAAAACCTCATGAAACCAACACACACACCAAAATAGATCCTATACATATGTTATTGTACCCTCTCAGACATTTCACATTAGTGTTATTCTTGGATGTGCAATCTATCTCCGAGGTAAACAGATCTGTCCCACTCACTGGAGACAATCAATATATTTCAGCTGGATAACAGGATTGGTGGTCTGATGGATCGGTAAACAAGGAGCCATGCAGGCGACAGAGGTGGAGGACAGGAAGAGAGGAAAAAAAACGTCTTGTAATACAATGTATAGCCTACTCATCTATATTTTAGTGTTCCGATTTCTACAGTGTGGGATCGTACAAATGAAACCTTCGCTAAATACAGATTTAAGGTCCTTTCTCAAAATACATGAATTTGGGGATTATTGCTTGGATGTTGTTATAGCTGTCCTCTTGTCTGTGAGGAAATAACATGTCATTTTACCTCTTTTGAAAACGTTTGGGTCATAATTACTATTTGTTTTCAACTACTGTTTTACCAAATGTCTGAAGTTTCTACAACTAGTTTATCCGGCAGTGGCTCAGTCAGTAGGGGATTGGACTGTGAGCCGTAGGGTCGCCGGTTCAAGTCCCCGAACAGACCTAAATATGGAGTGTGGACTTCTACTTGGAGAGGTCCCAGTTCACCTCCTGGGCCCTGCCGTGGTGCCCTTGAGCAAGGCACCGGACACCCCACTTCCGCCCTCACTCCCATTGCGCCCCGGGCGCTGTGCAATAGCTGCCCACTGCTCCTAGTACTAGACTCCTGGTACTAGGATGGGTTAAAAGCAGAGAACACATGTCACTGTGTGTGCTGTGTGCTCTGCATGTGTGACCATTAAAGAGGGTTTCATCCCTCCCTATTCTATTCCATATGTTTTATTACTCATTCGTGTCTATATATTTCAGAAATTGTTGTGAGGCTTTTTCGTAAACTCGCTGAAATATTTAGACCCAAATGGGTATTTAAAATATGGAATAGACTAGCAGTAGTAGGAATAAAGATGGAAAGATTTATAGTGTTTTTGTTTTATTTGTACTTGTAATTGTTAGAGGAAATAAATCTTTTTTTTCTTTTAAGAGGGGAGTTGGAGAATTCAAACTCTCTCAGGCTTGGGAATGCATAAAGCAAATTCTGCATCCAAATATTTTATTAAACCTAAACAACACAATCCTACATTTGTGAGCACAATTTTAGGTAAAATTACCGCATAAGATCCATGTGGATGAAAATAGAAAAGTGTCATACCTGAGCGCAGCAGGGGGTCTTTGCATAGCGAGGCGTACTTGATTCTGACTCCCATCGACTCTGTGAGGCTCTCATCGACCGGCAGCACCGTCTGCAGGACACACACATGACCAGGTGTTACACAGAGAGTCACCAAACACCTTTATCAGCCTTTAGGCCTACACTCACAAACCTCATCCACACACACATGTCCTTTCACTGCCCTGTGGGGCTGTGTGACAACTTTATCACAACATATACAAGGCTAAGTGTCTTTTGTTGAATTATAAAGCACTACACATAAACACAGACAAACAGGAAACACATTTGTCACATTAGTCGAGAGACGATAGCCATCAACTGCCGGAAATACGACTCACTAGTAAATAAACTGAAATGACAAAGTATCATCTGGTCTGTTGTCTTTCAGGCATATAGGGCCAGCAGTCAGAAATGAATCTAGCTGAGGTTTAATGATGAGTGTTTATTTGATATTTACCCTCAACAGATGACAATGTTTTTTCTTTAAATACAGAATTGAAATATTTGACCGAATGCTCCAGGAGGACCGTGTCCCTCACCCGCCCGTTGATGCCGTCTGGCAGCCAGCCGGTCGACACCCTCTGGTCTGCTCTGTCCTCCATCTGCCAGGCAGCCACGGTGATGTTCCCCACACGCTCGTTCTCCGCTGATCTGTCCAATAAAACACCGGTACAATGTGTATGGATAGAAATGAGATAAAAGTATTTCTAGTTTTTTGTAAATTAATTTAAATAATGAATTGTTTACTCCATGATATGCAAAAAAAAAGGGGAAGAAAACTAAGATAATAAATCAACAAGGATATAAAGCAGAAGTACCAAAACAAGTAGATTTGGAATGATGAATCAAATAACAGTTTCAATGTCAGAGTGTGTGTGTGTGTGTGTGTGTGTGTGTGTGTGTGTGTGTGTGTGTGTGTGTGTGTGTGTGTGTGTTACCTCAGTTCCAGCTGTAACCTGTGGGTCTTCTCTTGCAACAACTCCTTAACAGGAAAAAGTGCCGAGCCCAGCATGTACATCTGAAGAGCCAGAAAACAAACATTATTCATATGTTCATATTCAGATGTTTCCTTATCTCGTCTAAACTAGTTTGACCTCCAGAAAACGGACAAGTTAATGTATCATTTTGCTGAGCATAAACTGTACTAACATTTGTATTGTGTAGCAAAACATCAGAGTTTTTGATACCTGTGACACTTATGTCTGAAATGCATCTTTCCCATTGTTAAACATTACATGTAAGGTCCATGTGAGTAAAGAGGTGCCTCTTCATACCGTGCCCTGCGAGCGGTCCTTCACGTCGTACACGGCGAGTTTCACCTGCGTTTGCTGGTTGATGTTGGACTCCTGGAAGAAGGCGATGCTGCTGAGGAAGATGGGGTTACTGGTGCCCTGTGGAGCGAGGCAGCAACACATCAGCATTATTAAACCCTCAGTTTCATTCAAAGTTCATTTTCAAATCCCTTCAGAATATTACTTTTTATTCAACTGCTTATGCTAGAAATGTTTTTATCCTGCCTGGTTATGAACAACAAACATAAAGGAGGTGTAGGTGGATCAAATCAACTCTCTCGACATTTTGACCAAATCCCTGTGACTTTAAGACATAAGGTGGATTAGGCGTCCAAAGAGTCTGACCTCTATGACCTCAGTCTGGGCGTGTTTGGACCAGAAGGCCTGCGGGGGGGTGGTGCAGCTCACTGCTACAAAGCTGTTTGGTTTTCTGTCCAGAGCCGGAGTCAGCAGCTCTGTGCACACTGGAGGAGAAACACTGCATGAGCCAAGAGGCGTGAACATAAATTGCAACTGTGTGCCATCATTTTTCAGAAGAAATACATGATGCACTTTATATGACTTCTTTTAATGTTGAGGATTTGAAGTTGCTCTCATCATCTTAAAGTTGTTTGAATGTTACTCACCCACGCTGAACTCAAGCACAGGCTCATCTGGGTCCTGACTGTTTCCTGGAAATGAAAGTCACAAAACTTTAGATATTAAAGAAAACATTTGGAAATAAATCGGACTTTTTAAAGACTTCTCAAGAGCTGCAGATACAGTACCCTAAATGTAATTCGGTGCAGCACGGGTTCATATATGATAGCAATTAGACCACCATGTTGAAAAGAGAAACGATTCGTCACACTTTGATTTGTTTAGAATTCTCCTCTGAGCTATAAGCAGTGCAGACTCTTAAACTAACTGGAATATCTAATGGGATACGTTAACGTATATAACATTACATCACGGTCCTCTGGACTCATTATGGTCTGCTTCAGGGTGGTTCAGTGTGGTTGAAGAGGTGACCTACAACTTTAATACTCTGCATTTGTGAGAGTCATTTGAAATGTAGTGATGCAAGTGGCTGAGAGAAAAGCAAGGCTCTTTTTTTAACACTGGCCATCCCTTGATAGTGTTCAATTATGAAAGTTAATTGAAATTATGCTTTTTTGTTTACTCAAAGGCATTTACATAGTTTTTAGTTTGTGGTATTGTTTATTAGTGGTGTGTATAATCCTTTAACAACATCTCCAAGCCATTAAGCGATAGTGACTATAAACAGATTAGTTCATGAACTTTATAGATGTTGACGCATTAATTAAATGTAAAAACGTATATATATCTAATTTAAAATATAATAAGACTTCAGGCACAAGACAAAAATGTATCTGTAGAATGTGCTACTTTTCTCTTTAGATTTACAAATGTAAATACATTTGTGTTTTTGATATTTGGTTAGACACAATTTCATTTTGAGATGCTGCTCCTCACCAGCGAGAGCGAGTCCGATCATCTCGTTGGACAGCTCGAAGGTGCTGGCCCGGTACACCGACCACGGCCTCTGGGTCCTGGAGCCGTGCTTCCGGACCCCCGCCATGCCTGTCCGGGAAGAGGCAGGAGGCCTGAACACACACCCTCACACACACGGTCACACACTCCCATGTGAGGTGCCCCTCTTCCTGAGCAGATCCACGGCTGCTCCAGAAAGCAGTGTGTCCTCTATGAATAAGAGAGAGAACATTAGATTTAAACGGCATGAAGTCAAACATTCTTCTTTTTTTAAATCAATCAAGCAGGTTTTCAGGTGATGTTATTAGGTTAACATTTGCTTAATCCCCTCAGCAACCTAAACATTTTGTGAAGTTAAACAAAAACTAAAAAATGAATAGACTGTGAAAGAGAGGGCATGTGTGATGCTGAGCATCTTCTGCCTCCTTCAGTGCTCTGAACATCAGCACGTGTAATGTTCAGAAAATAAAAAAGTTTCTTGCTTCAGCAGTTTGTTGATTTGCATCCGTGTGTGTGTGTGTGTGTGTGTGTGTGTGTGTGTGTGTGTGTGTGTGTCATCCCATATACAACTTAGAATTTGCATTTTATGTGGCTGTTTGTTCTCAGCATATCATGATGTTGCTAAGAGACTGTAGGTTTTTCCTTAGGTCCTCCGCATTATTTTTTGTGTTTCTGCATCTCTGCCTCCTCATGTCCTTCACTCTTTTTTGTCTTTACGTCCATCTCTCGCCATCTTCCTCCCTTGCCAGTTATTTTCAACAGAAAACAGTTTATATTCCCAAATCTAAATGTATTTTGCTCAATTTCATCGTAATCGTCTCCCTCCATACCTGCATGAAGGCTTTATCCTGTCCCACTCTTTCGTTCTCTCTGTCCCATTTTTTGAAGAGCAATTAGCCTATTTGCGGCAATGGGACAGTATCTGACAATGGTCTAGATACATATAGGTCTATTTTTGGTACATTTGTGCTCTTTTTATCGTAGAAAATGTGTTAAATAGATTCTGGTCAATGTTGTTAATAGCTCATGCCAGAGAGTTGGCATACATTCAATGTGATTCTCAAAATTAGTAGAACATTGATTTGTTTTTTGTTCTCCTTTTTAAAAACAGACCCACAGAGTGATCTAATTTTATTTGTGGTTCTGGGTTAGTGTTTGACGCCCCATATATGTGATACATGGCCCACTTTGGTCAGCTCAGATACATGTGAACTAATTAAATGGAGGAAAAACTGCCTGATATAAAGGAGAGCTCCAATGTTGCAGTTATCTGCGTAAAGAATCTGTGCATGTATTTGTTAAACATGTTTACTTGCTTGTTCCTGCCTGAAACAACAAAACTGGGATCGACTGAAATGTAAAAATGCAGGGGGAAAATGTAAAAGCATGCACTGAAGGGAAAATCAAGTTGTTTGTGCAACAGCATGAGCTGTGACAGTGCTGGAAGCCCCACAGACACTCAGTCATCAGCCTGAAGGGCCTTTTAGCTAATCGCTGAAGTGTTGCTGAGCGGTGACACTGGCATGTAAACAGAAAGCAGTTCAAAAATTAAATGATAGCTTACTGAAAAGGGCAGGACAGGTATAAGGTTAATAGATTATGATTTTTACAAGATAGGTTAGTGTGTCAGCTAGAGTTAAAAGGGATTTAACCCTGAATATGCCTTCATTCTGATATGTTTTTAGCTAAGAAATGTCTTGCCTTCCTCACTTCTATTAGTTTCTCTTTATCCATGTATAGAGTTATTTACCTATGCACATTGACCTGTCCATTAACATTAAATGTAACTACTCAACCTTGCATGCTTATACATTACATTACATTACATTGCATTTAGCTGACGCTTTTATCCAAAGCGACTTACAATAAGTACATTCGACCAGGAAGACACAACCTTGAAGAAAACAGAATCATATAAGTACATCAGGTTTCATAGAGCCAAACATTTCAAGTGCTACTCAACTGGCTTTAGATAAGCCAGTCCTTTATTAGTATATAAGTGCTTTGTTAATAATTATATCGCTCGAGGTGAAGTCGAAAGAGATGAGTTTTCAGTCTGCGCCGGAAGGTGTGTAAGCTATCTGCTGTCCTGATGTCAATGGGGAGCTCATTCCACCATTTTGGAGCCAGGACAGCAAACCCACGTGTTTTTGCTGATGGGAACTTGGGTCCCCCTCGCAACGAGGGTGCAGCGAGTCGTTTGGCTGATGCAGAGCGTAGTGCACGCGCTGGGGTATACAGTTTAACCATGTCCTGGATGTACGAAGGGCCAGATCCATTCGCAGCATGGTAAGCAAGTACCAGTGTCTTGAAGTGGATTCTAGCAGTTACCGGTAGCCAGTGGAGGGAGCGGAGGAGCGGAGTGGTGTGTGAACATTTAGGAAGGTTGAAGACCAAACGAGCCGCTGCATTCTGGGTGAGCTGCAGAGGTCGGATGGCACATGCAGGTAGACCAGCCAGGAGGGAGTTGCAGTAGTCTAGGCGTGAGATGACGAGAGCCTGGACCAGAACCTGCGTCGCTTTCTGTGTCAGCTGGGGACGTATCTTCCTGATGTTGTAAAGCGTGTATCTGCAGCAACGGGTTGTAGCAGCGATGTTTGCAGTGAAGGACAGGTTGTTATCTAGGATCACACCCAGATTCCTTGCAGTCTGAGTCGGGGAAACAACTGAGGTGCCGATGTTGATAGTCAGGTCAAGAGTGGGACAATCTTTTCCCGGGAGGAAGAGCAGCTCAGTCTTGTCAAGGTTGAGCTTGAGGTGATGAGCAGACATCCACTGAGAGATGTCAGCTAGACAAGCAGAGATGCGTGCGACGACCTGGGTCTCTGAGCGGGGAAAGGACAGAATTAATTGGGTGTCGTCAGCGTAGCAGTGGTATGAAAAACCATGCGGGCTAATGACTGATCCGAGAGAGTTTGTGTACAGGGAGAAGAGGAGGGGACCAAGAACAGAGCCCTGAGGGACCCCTGTAGTTAATTGACAAGGGTCGGACTCAGACCCTCTCCAAGTTACCCTGTAGGTACGGTCTTTGAGGTATGAGGTGAGGAGGGAAAGTGCAGAGCTTGAAACCCCAAGTTTTTGGAGAGTGCGAAGGAGGATCTGATGGTTCACCGTGTCGAATGCAACAGATAGGTCCAACAGGATGATGACAGAGGAGAGGGATGCTGCTTTGGCAGTGTGCAGTTCCTCAGTGACAGCAATGAGAGCAGTTTCTGTGGAGTGACCTGCCTTGAAACAAGACTGGTGCGGATCCAGAAGGTTGTTCTGATGGAGATAACAGGAGAGTTGTTTAAAGACAGCGCGTTCAAGTGTTTTAGACAGGAACGGGAGTAGAGAGACAGGCCTATAGTTTATAACATCAGACGGGTTGAGAGTGGGTTTCTTTAGGAGAGGGTTTACTCTTGCCTCCTTGAGACTGTTTGGAAAGTGACCAGAAGTTAGAGAAGTGTTGATGAAATGGGAGAGGAACGGTAGAATATCAGGAGCGATAGTCTGAAGGAGGTTTGAAGGGATAGGGTCCAGAAGACAGGTGGTAGGGCGGGCAGAGGTAATGAGGGTAAGAACCTCACTTGGAGAGAGAGGGGAAAAGGAGGTTAGTGTGTTGGTGGAAGGAGGGTCTGGTGACCCAGCGGTGAGTAAAGGTGAGTCAGAAAAAGAAGAGCGAATATCATCAACCTTTTTTTCAAAGTGGATAACAGAGTCACTTGACAGAAGTGAGGAGGGGGGAGGGGCTTTGGGAGGGTCCAAGAGGGTGGAGAAGATGGAAAATAGTTTTTTGGGATTGGAATAGGAAGATTGAATCTTATCTTGAAAGAAAGTGCTTTTTGCCTGAGAGATCGAAGCAGAGAAAGAGGAGAGGAGAGCCTGATAGGTTAGGAGGTCGTCACGGTGTTTGGATTTCCACCGTTTCCGCTCTGCTGCCCTAAGGACGGTTCTATTAGCACGCAGTGCGTCATTTAGCCAGGGAGCAGGAGGGGACTGACGAGCCTGCCGAGATGTGAGAGGACAGAGAGAGTCCAGAGAGGATGAAAGAGTAGAGAGGAGAGTTTCTGCAGCAGAGTTTGGAGGCAGCAGTTGGAACGAGTGAGAGGAAGGGAGGGCTGAGAGCACCGATGAGGCAAAGGTAGAGGGGGAGAAGGAACTAAGGTTACGGCGGACAGGTGCAGGATGAGAAGAGATTAGTTTGTTATGTTTGGAAAGGGGTAGAGAGAATGAAATGAAGAAGTGATCGGATGTGTGGAGCGGGTTTACAAGTAGCGCAGTTCCTTGAGAATATGAGATCAAGGACATTGCCAGCTTTATGAGTTGGTGGGGAAGGAGACAGTGAGAAAGCAAAGGCGGTTAACAGAGATGTTAGTTTGTCTATCTTCCCTGTCTGGAGGTTGAAGTCTCCAAGAAGTACAGCGGGAGGACCAGTTTCGGGGATGTGTGAGAGGAGATTATCTAATTCCTCCAAGAAATCCCCCAAGGCGCCTGGTGGACGGTAGAGAACAACAATGGTTAACTGTATAGGATGGGTTACTGTGACGGCATGGAATTCAAAGGAGTTAAGTTAGGTAGCTTGAAGAGGGAAAAGCTCAATTTGGGAGAGAGCAGGAGACCAGTGCCACCACCTCTGCCAGTGGGTCTGGGTGTATGGGAGAAGGAATATGCTGTGGAGAGAGCTGCTGGGGTGGATGTGTTGAATGGAGTAATCCAGGTCTCAGTGAGAGCAAGGAAATCCAGGGACTGCAGGGAAGCATAGCCAGAGATGAAGTCAGCCTTAGGAACAGCTGACTGGCAGTTCCACAGGCCACCTGAAACTAGATGTTGGATCTCAGTGGAGCATATGGGATAGACGAGAGCAGGCCGGTTATAGCGATTAGGAGATACACGGGGCCAGTGATAATTGCGAGAAGACACATGAACAGGAATGGAGAAAATACACATGATTATAGCATGAGGGGCTAGAAAACTAAAGAAAAGAAAATAGGACACCAGCGGTAAATAGCTCAATCAGAGTAGGATTTGCCTCCCTCGTGACTCCCGCAGGACTCCAATGTCTTTGTCAGTCTTCGGCTGTCTGACGCTGAAGCTGACTCTCCAGGAAAGAGCTACCTAAAATGGACGCCTGATTGCTGAGTTCTCACAGCTGATGGGCGACAGCAGACTGGCCCTGCCTATATTGTAATACAGGCTTGAGTGCCCACTGCGACCTGTGTAACAGGTTCCCTTGAGCAGATCTGAGATTTAAAATCTCTCAAAAGCGCCGTTTTAGCTACAATAACTACAGAACAATTATACAGAGTAGAATAAATGAAACAGAGAAGTCTAATTAAACAAGAATATAACTTACAGTGGTTGCTGCGTCAATAGGTATTGTCTTCACCCGGTCTAGATGCACACTGAGTTCTGCGGTATTTAAATGCTTTTTAGCTGGAAGATGACTAATTTACGCTGTTGTACTTCACGCAATCAGCAGACTGGCCCTGCCTATATTGTAATGCAGGCTTGAGTGCCCACTGCGACCTGTGTAACAGGTTCCCTTGAGCAGATCTGAGATTTAAAATCTCTCAAAAGCGCCGTTTTAGCTACAATAACTACAGAACAATTATACAGAGTAGAATAAATGAAACAGAGAAGTCTAATTAAACAAGAATATAACTTACAGTGGTTGCTGCGTCAATAGGTAGTGTCGTCACCCGGTCTAGATGCACACTGAGTTCATCAGATTTTAAATGTGGTATTTATATGCTTTTTAGCTGGAAGATGAGTAATTTACGCTGTTGTACTTCACGCAATCAGCAGACTGGCCCTGCCTATATTGTAATGCAGGCTTGAGTGCCCACTGCGACCTGTGTAACAGGTTCCCTTGAGCAGATCTGAGATTTAAAATCTCTCAAAAGCACCGTTTTAGCTACAATAACTACAGAACAATTATATAGTCCGACCCTTGTCAATTAACTACAGGGGTCCCTCAGGGCTCTGTTCTTGGTCCCCTCCTCTTCTCCCTGTACACAAACTCGCTGGGATCAGTCATTAGCCCGCATGGTTTTTCTTACCACTGCTACGCTGATGACACCCAATTAATTCTGTCCTTTCCCCGCTCAGAGACCCAGGTCGTTGCACGCATCTCTGCCTGTCTAGCTGACATCTCTCAGTGGATGTCTGCTCACCACCTCAAGCTCAACCTTGACAAGACTGAGCTGCTCTTCCTCCCGGGAAAAGATTGTCCCACTCTTGACCTAACAATCAACATCGGCACCTCAGTTGTTTCCCCGACTCAGACTGCAAGGAATCTGGGTGTGACCCTAGATAACAACCTGTCCTTCACTGCAAACATCACTGCTACAACCCGTTGCTGCAGATACACGCTTTACAACATCAGGAAGATACGTCCCCAGCTGACACAGAAAGCGACTCAGGTTCTGGTCCAGGCTCTCGTCATCTCACGCCTAGACTACTGCAACTCCCTCCTGGCTGGTCTACCTGCATGTGCCATCCGACCTCTGCAGCTCATCCAGAATGCAGCGGCTCGTCTGGTCTTCAACCTTCCTAAATTTTCCCACACCACTCCGCTCCTCCGCTCCCTTCACTGGCTTCCGGTAACTGCTAGAATCCACTTCAAGACACTGGTACTTGCTTACCATGCTGCGAATGGATCTGGCCCTTCCTACATCCAGGACATGGTTAAACCGTACACCCCAGCGCGTGCACTACGCTCTGCATCAGCCAAACGACTCGCTGCGCCCTCGCTGCGAGGGGGACCCAAGTTCCCATCGGCAAAAACACGTGGGTTTGCTGTCCTGGCTCCAAGATGGTGGAATGAGCTCCCCATTGACATCAGGACGGCAGATAGCTTGCACATCTTCCGGCGCAAACTGAAAACTCATCTCTTTCGACTCCACTTCGAGCGTTAGAACTATTAACGAAGCACTTTTATACTAATAAAGGACTGGCTTATCTAAAGCCAGTTGAGTAGCACTTGAAATGTTTGGCTCTATGAAACCTGATGTACTTATATGATTCTGTTTTCTTCAAGGTTGTGTCTTCCTGGTCGAATGTACTTATTGTAAGTCGCTTTGGACAAAAGCGTCAGCTAAATGCAATGTAATGTAATGTAATACAGAGTAGAATAAATGAAACAGAGAAGTCTAATTAAACAAGAATATAACTTACAGTGGTTGCTGCGTCAATAGGTATTGTCTTCACCCGGTCTAGATGCACACTGAGTTCATCAGATTTTAAATGCTTTTTAGCTGGAAGATGACTAATTTACGCTGTTGTACTTCACGCAATCAGCAGACTGGCCCTGCCTATATTGTAATGCGGGCTTGAGTGCCCACTGCGACCT